CCCCAGGAATTGCGGCGGGACCCCCACCCCCTGCCACTTCTCCCAGTCCAAGCCCTGCTCCCCAAAACCACCAGCAGAACGGCCCTTACCTGGTGGTGTTTCTCTGCCCATGGAACTACAGCCTGAGCGAGCAGAGAGAAAACAAACTCAAGCTGGCTGCCAGAATCGTGCGGGAGCTGGAAGCGAGAAGCCCTTCACCTGCCACGGCCTGGGCCAGTGCCAGCGGGAGCCTGGCACCTCGCTGCTGCTCCCCCGGCTCTGCTAGGGGCGAATAAAGCCATGGAAACACCAGCCACTCAGAGGAAACATCAGAGCCACTCAGCTGAGAGAGATGTTTCCACTCTGCCTGCGTCCCCGGCACGATCCCCAAAGCAGACTCTCACCTTCCTATGGACCTCCATCAGAGCTGCAGCAGCTCACTGCTAATTGATTCAATATGCATTTGGACTAGCATTTTTAATTAATTTTATTACAGAAAAATTAATGCACTGCTTCCCCACAGATGCATTAGATAGCAACGCGAGCAGTAGGAAACCTTCGTGCAGTGCGGTTTTTCTTGTGACTGCTTGTGGGGAGACAACCCCAAACCCACGGTGGGGCTTCCCCAGTCCTGTCCCTCCCTGCAGACCCCCCTTTAGTCTAAGGACTCACGCCAAGTATTTGCCACGTTTCTGTTGAATTTAGAAACGTAGAGGACTACAGAGCAGCAGGAGAGCACCACTCTGCTCGTGCTTGAGTCCTGGGCTCCTTTTCAGCAGAGGCAGGTTCTGGCCTGCACAGAGCAGCTTGGTTCATCCCACAGCTTTGATTCCAGAGGGATGTTGGGCATTTGGTAGCCATCATGTTCTCAAAACTACACACAGTCCCAAGTGCAAATCCAACGGTACCAGCCACGGGAAGTGGCCTGCACCAGGTGTCAGCGCTGCTGGGCAGCACCCTGCCTGTCTCTGCTCATCTCCACCCCACACAAGCAGATGCTTTCCCTTGAGAAAAAGCTCTCCCACTGTTTCAGGCATCAGGACGTACCACCCCACCTAGACGAGCCATCCTCCCTAGAGCAGGATTTAACAACTCCAGTACCAGCACCATCCCCCCTCTTTTCTTAACCAAGCCCCTCATCCCACCTCAGCCTGACTTCAGCAGGCACTGGGGGATACAAATAATCATATTTTGGGAACGCAAGCAGCCTCAGCTCTGTGAAATTCATGCAAGGAAGAGTTTTTCTTCATCCCTCCCTTTCCCCAAATCTATTTTATCATTACCCTTTTCACCATATAATGAAGTTAATAAGAGACATATTTATTCTGCTTGGCTTGGGAACTAAAGTCGAACAAGAAGTTTTAGCTGTACAGCAGCACAAAGCAGAACGTCTGCTCTGAAACACCACAAGCATTTCCAAGCAGAGAGAAAAGGCATTTGGAGGATGTTCTATCAAAAAATAGAGCTGGGTGAAATTAAGCAGTTCCCAATATTTGAGATGACATCTCAGAACACAACCAGTGGGGGAGAAATCATGTGTTATTTATATACATTCACACTATGGTATTTATCAATGGCAGAGTACTGGGGGAAGAAACATCATCACGACATCTGCAATACCCAAATTTGAGTCCCCAGAGTCTTGCACTAACATTGTATTGAAGCACAGCCCCCAGGCAATGCCATATTTCAGAAATCTGCAGAGCAGGAATAGGTAGCGCACCGTAAGGTCCGAGACTTTAATCAAGCCCTGCAACTCAATAGATTTCCAATATAACAAAGACAAAGAGGTGTCAGCTCCAGTTCTTATTTGCTAATACTATCAATAGGGGCTCAGCTCACTAGCAGTTAATTCAAAGCCAAGCTCGATTTGCACAGCAGTGATCTACACTAATTCCCATATGTGGCTAAGGGAAGATTTTGCCAACTAGACAATAGAAACAGTATTACAGCTCCTGAAACGATGCCATTGCTTTTCTTCTCTGCTCCACCACTTCCCCATCAGATTTCCACGTGCTGGAATCTCCACTCCTGTTCCTCCTTGCGTCAGAGGATGTGCAGAAAGGGTAGCAATTACAAAGGTACCCATTTTCTTTTCCAGATGCAGCTTTATTGAGGGTTTTAAAATGTGACTTCCCATAAAATTTGGGCCAATCTCACACTTGTTTTCTGTGCATTAAAGACACTACAAATTGCCATAATTAAGCAATTATAAAAGTATTTTTAAGTGATCCAACTGTAATTTAGCCTTAAAAAAAAAGTTGCTACATGTTGCTGTTTTGTTAAAGTTTATTAGCTTCATCCAATACCAAGTTTTGCTTGGTTATACTTTTAGGTTCTAGTCCATCTCAATGCTAGATCAGGCTGTTTTGCCAAGATATTACAGTTCTTGAGAAGTCACAGGAAGCCAGATGTGCTACCTGATTAGGCAACAGTTTTATCCACATGAGAAGTAGTTACTGCTTGTAAGCCCAGCCCTTATTAGTCTGTAGTTTTGCTCAAACGAAGCAGAGGCAGCAGCCCATACCCACAGTCTACACAGATGAGTTACCCCGTCTGCCTAAGTCAGCTGTGCGCAGCAGCCTGCAACCTTGGGCTGCTATCAATGCCAGCACCCTCACACCCCCACCTCCTCCCCGCTGCCAGGCAAACACCAACTGCCAGCTACAGCCAGCACAAGGAAGGAATTCAGTGGGAGCACGGGGGTGCTGGTTTTCCCAGTCTGTGCAGTTTCCACACTAAGGAAAAAACGAGGTTTGCCACCAGCCAGAGATCAGGTATTACCTTCCCCATCCAAGGGCTGCAAAACATCCCCAGCTTGGATTCAGAAAGCTGGCAAGAGTGTGACACAGCCAGCTATCTGGTCACCGAAAGGCGGAGACCTGCATCGCTCCCTCCACCCACCTCCTATGAAACTGGTATCATTAGAGGAAGGGCAGGGGCCGAGTACCTGCGCCACGCTCACTGCAGCAGGGGGCTAGAGGAGGCGCCTGGCTCCTGCCATGAACCAAGATGCTAGAAAAAACCACAAGTCTGAAACAGTTTAACACAGGACAAAAAAGGCACATTTTAATATGTACAGCAATGCATTTGGGCTATAAATTTACCCAACACAACTGAAAAAAAAAAAATCCAAACTATGCTTTTATACTTATTCCATGGTGTCAGCCTCATTCCTAGCCACCTACCTTTCTCTGCATCTCTGAATGCTGCTATATACACACACAAACAAACAATTACGTCATGAATGTTCATTTAGGCTCCCAAGTTCAAGTAATAAAGTTCAAACTTGCATAGCATCTTATGCCACTCAGCCATAAACAGTTACGATTGCATATTAGCTGGAGCAGCCATCTCTTTCAATTCAGCTTGTTTTGGCTGGCCACCATTTATTTATTTTATTATTATTATTTTTAATCCTTGAGTCAGAATGTTTCCTAAAGTCACCAGCCCTGAGGGATGCCACAGACTTCAAAATGAACCTCTTGCTGTTGTTAAAATCCTTTTAAACCAGAAATTTAGAGTGTTGTCAAGAACAGTTTTAAAAATGTAATACTGTTTATTTTGCTTCAAAAACATTTCAGCATTCTAAACATACAAAAAAAACAGAACGTTGCAAATTCATTTAAGTACAGAGTGTTTTTGAACTTCAGTTGCTGCACTGGCTCTTCACTTAGTTGACGATGAAGAGATGTCTACAGTTTCAGTTTAAAAACTACCGCACTTAACTAAAAAAATCCATACACTTCTCATGCCAGCTGAACCCCCTTCCACAACTAAGAATGGCAGCAGAATGCTATTTCACTATATACAGAAAGACAACTTTAAGCTAAATGGACGCCCACTGTAGTGTAAATAGATCTACCCTCACAGTGCATGCTTTGGGCCATGGCACCCCGGGGAACATACAGCCTTTCCAAGTCATCACTGCTCCTCTAAGGCATCATAACTCTAAGCATGTACCACAAGAATCTGTCTAGTTTTTACAAACTATAGATATGTACAGTTTATAACCCAGGATTTTCTAGCCAATAACCATATAGTAACACCACCTTACAAATTAAAAAAATGCTTGAAACATTTTTAAATGCTTTGTTACACCAACAGCAAAGTGCACAGAGTTAGGAGAACACTAGAGCGCCTTTTCATTTTAAAAATGTTTGGAAATATGTACAACTTTGATACAGTTTCAGGGTGCTCACTACACCCATGGCCACTTCATGTAAACCAGTTACAATTTCTAGAGCACTTTTAGAAACTACAACGCGATCGGAATCCAAATTTTTAATTAAGCCTAATAAGGGCAAGAGACACCATCTCAAATAAGAGGTGCTTCATTTATGGTGTTTCCCCTACTCTATGGTATTCACATGGAGACAAGTATTGTACAGTTTTATTCATCATCATCATCTTCATCCTCCTCTTCTTCATCCTCCTCCTCCTCTTCGTCTTCTTCCTCTACCTTTTTCCGAGCAGCTTTGGTTGCTGCTCCCTTTGCGCCATCAAACTTTCCTTTAGACTTGTAGTCTGCAACATCCTGCAAAGTCAAGGGGATGTCTTAATTTGCTCTAAGCAGCAAACACACACAGCATTTGTACAGCAGCAGGCGTGAACGTAAAGGGACTGGCCTTCCACAGCAGCACCCCAACAAGGGGACAGCCAGCCCTACAGTACACATGTATGCAGACACCTAAGTGTACTCATCCACCTCTGGAGGATGGAGGCCTTGAACCCTGCACTCGTGGTCATCTTTTGAGGAGGAGAAGAGAACTCAGCCTCTCTTCAAGACT